CTAAATTTTCGTCTACTTTGTATCTCTCACTGAAGATGGCCACGACAAATGGGCCTAAACATCTGTTGTAACCGATTCTTTTAAATAAACTTTACTGAGCAAGTAATACTTAACTCTGGGCTTATATAGTTATTAATTTTAACATTATAATTTACAGTTATGTCTTTGTAATCTCAAACTTCTAATTATATTAACAAACTCCGAATTTAAATTACATACAATATAATGGTTTTTATTTATCTACTGTTTTTAATATAAGTTTTCAAAACGATTAACATTAATTTGCCACAATTTTAAAAATCAATTGTATTATTTACATTAATAAACATAATATTTTAATTTGCGAAATCAACTATATGTTACTTACAATTTTAAAAAAGGATAATTTGACAGGTTTAAAAAAGTTTGATTTAATATTTAAAAACAATCAATACTATTTTATTTATATTAAAGAGAAGTATACATTAATTTTAGAAATGGACAACATGTTATTTGTTATTTTATAGATGAAAGATATTTCGACAACTTTAAAATGATAATATATCGTATACCATGCTGTCTCATAGTAAAATTGAGGAATGTTAATATTTTTGTCGAATATTCAATTTTGTTACATAATTATTATATCGTGAAATATTACTCACCTATCAGCATACGTGCGAATAGAATACCACATGCCTTCACTTAAAATATGTTGTAATATATACCATAAAACGGATGCTGTGACAATTAAAATCATAGAGTACTTAAAACATACTTTAAAATGTTCTTTAATCATAACAATAATATATATAAAGTTTTAAACAAATAAATTCTATTTTAACTTACGTTTGATATAATTAAGAATAGACTTATTTTTTTTTACATCTAAACTATTACTGTTGTGTAGTGTAAAATTATAATTATAAGAAGGAATGTCAAAGCGAAAAGATTCCTGCAGTACTTGGACAACAAATAAATCATGTATGTAAAAAATCGACGGAATCTGAAAAATTTACTAAGTTAAAACACATATTTAAATGCATATTATTTTTGCATTATAAATATGAATTTAGAGTTGGTAATGGCTGCTATTAAATTTTTGGTTGTTTTTGTTGTTTTGTAAAATTTGATAAGTTTAAATATTTAAATGCACGGTATATTTGCATTATAAATATGAATTAAGAGTTGGAAATGGCTGCTACTAAATTTTTGGTTCTTTTTGTTATTAAAAATATTAATTTGTAATATGTCATTAATATATAAGAATATTAAACAACCTTTCCCAAGATATGCGCTGCAAAGTATGTTGTAAAACCTTCTATTGGCCATGACAAATAATCGTACCAAATAGATATTACTTGACGTGCTAGTAAGTTAGCCACTTCTATTTTGCGTGCAATGGAATCTAATGCTTCATTGTAAGTAATATCTTCTTCTCTAAAAATGGTTTCCAAGTATTACAATTACATCCCAAAATATTGCTAGAATTATGCAATTTAATAAATTTGTGTATTGTAAATATAATACAAATTATTGCAAAATTAGATGATTTCGAGTGCTAACCCGTAAAATTATTTACTTAAAAATTTTTAAATAAATATTTAACGATTTTAGGTTGACAATTTAAAAATTGTTATTTTTTAATTTTATACCAAAAAGAAGTGAAGTTATACTTAAGCAAATTTGTTTTGATATTTATTTAATAAACAATATATTTTTCTGTGTTTATAAAAAATAACATTGTAAAATTGTGTGTTCTCTCACTTAAATAATCATTTATTCAGAATATTAAAAAAAAAAGGAGAAATATTTTGAACATTTATGAATAAATGACATCACAATTAAAAAAAAATTGCAGAAGTGTTAAATTAGAAATATTCATGGTATTTTTATATTCTTGATGCAATAAATAATATTTATAACTCGTTTTGTTACAACATAAAACGTACAATTATTTTCCATACTTACATATTAAAATACTAATTTAAATACTGATTTGATGTAAAAAAGGATTATTTTAATTTTCTGTTTAAAATAAAAGTACTTTTTATGATGTAATGCAAGTGATGTATACGATAATCTTTAAATGACTTCCTGATATAATAATACATATATTTTAGTTCTAAAATATTATAGATAAGTTTGTTTTTTAATTTGATTTTAAACGTTATCTTTTTAGTTACTAATAACTGGATACTACCTGTGTAAAATAAGTCCCCTTATCTCAATGTTCTTATGTTGTGTATCCCAAATTGCAACATAATCTATTTTTGATATTTTTGTCTGACTTTCATTCAAAAAATTGAATACATCTTCTACGACGAGTTGTGCAAATTTCAGATATAATTTTACATTTTTTCTACACCAAATTATGACATTTGTATACAATAGCCGCTGTTGCAGAAAAAGGTTGTTGATTATCACAATTGTTAAACGTTGAATAGACATGAAAGGCGACTTGTTAAAATGTGTCCACATCATGTTACTTTCATCTCTATATTCTTCTGCATTTCTTAACATATTTGATAGGGCTGTAAATCTTTCATGATGCATAATAGAAATGTTAAAGGTGCTCTTAAACGTTGGTTCGTCCCAACATGGAAATATTTGTTGGGCTCTTATTACCTCAACACCAGTTTCTGTTAATCTGTTTCGTTTTAAAATGGTTCATATAAAATTTTTATCATATTTTGAGTGAGAATTAATTATTTAAACTTACACTTTTTCACCTGTGTCTTCTTGGTATCCGAGAAAAATTTCATCAAATATGTTGCGGAAATATATCATGTGTAAGATATATGTTTCAGGAGATAAATAATTTACTGACGTGCTACTGAAGTCAATACAAATGTGCGTTTCATTGATAAATGTATATTTCTGCACGTGTATCATCTTATTGTCATCATTGATAGTCAAGTCAATTTTCAGTATACCGAAATTTACTGAAGGTATACTTATATTCATCATTGGACGTGTAATATTGATGGTAATATTGCATTCGCCGTAAAGGACATTTCTGGAGAAGTCGAGTTTTATTTTGATATCATAATGAAACGGTACTAAACCAGCATAATTCAGCAAATGGTGATTAACTTCAGTGTCACTTTTTACAAATTGTGAAATAGAGAAAAATGTAATCACAATAAATATTAGTTTGATATTTAATGAATTATTCTTCAATGCCATACTAAGTTCCGTTTAAAGCATCTGAAAAAAAAATTTGTATCGTAAAAAGACATATAGATATTTTCGATGCACAATACTTTACTTTTTTATCACGAAAAAAAAAACAAATATAGTATTGAATATAGTCATTAATACTAAAAAGATGTCGAACTTTTATGAAAAATGCTCAAATCTTGTAAATGTATTACTTCTGGTAGTATTAAAAAAACGTAATTTTAATTGCAAAAGACACAGATTCTTACGAGAAACATAATGCACATAAAATTTTTTTAAAGTATAAAACAGAAAATAATAAGGATACATTTTATATATTACTGAAACAGAATAAACATTAATAGCACCAATTTTATTGTTACCAACAATAATGTTTTTAAGATTATCTAAATAATTAATGGTTGTTTCACTTTAACCATCATATATGAATTATGTCGCGCTTACTTATATTTGATTATAATCTTTTTATGAAAGCATATATGAGATAAGTTACGCTGAAAAATTCAGAATAAGAAAAAAAAATTCATAATGTAATTAAAATACATTTTTTTTTAAATATACATTTACAGAAGACAAGTAAATATGCTACATTTTAATCGTAGCATATTTACTTTCATAGATGGGCTGTTGCAAGATTAAAATTCTTTTCAAACATATCTTATGTGGAAGCAAGCGATTTATCGATCGACGAAAGCAATTTCATTTTATTTTTTTTATTGTTTTATCAGCAAACTGAATGAAATAAATTATAAACATTAATAGACATTTTATCACATTTGGTGCGGCACGTATGTTTTTTTTAACTACAAAAGTTAACATTTGCTATTTCTTTACTGTGCATATGTTTAATATATGCGCACACTCGCAGTAAAAGTGGCACATGTAAAGAAAATAAATTGTTCAGGAGAGAGGAAAGAAGGAATTGCGTTGATAATAACGTTTTTCATTAATAACATTATGAATTAATTTTTATCTTAAATGATGTCGCAAATTATTAATCGTTTAAAGCTTGATTTTACGGAAAATAATTTCATATATCTATGCTAAAACAATAATTTTAAAATTAATTATTTACGGCAGTATTAAACATAAAGGATTCACGCGGTATTTGAATTTAATGTCTATCACTTACTTTTCTGATTGAAGGCCAATGTCTTTAGAATACAATTTGCATATAAAGCAATAATCAAAAAATTTTGACTTTTAACACTTTTCTTGTGGGTATACTTGTATACCCACTTACGATATGTATACTTGTATTACACAAAATATATCATTAAAACTTTTTGTTAAATTACAACGATAAGAGAGGAAAAAAATAGAGCGGAAAGATTAAGAAGGAACAGTAGACACAAGAGAATAACAAGATAGAGAAGGATACAAAGGCAAGGTTAATCTTTGAAAGAGAGCGTTACGTTCCAATGTATGAGAAATTGTATGTTAGAGAAAGCATAGTATATAGCAGAAATGTGTAATATATGTGATGTAAGTAAGGCAATTCATGAAACTAAAGATTTCTGTAATGTACGCCGTGTATTTAATAAATAAATTTTACGTTCGAAATGTCATTTTACATGTGATAATTGATTGTTACGTGTATCTTAGTTGATTTATTATTAGTATAAAAGAAATAGGAAGAAATTAAAAAAAGCGTTAAAATTTTTATTAATGCTGAAAAAATGATGTCAATCTTAAATTTATTGATAAAATTAATTGCTAAAATTAATGTTGATTTTGAATTTAACCAAATTAATAAATTAAAATTGTACACAGTTTGTTAGAAATATTTAGTTTGTCGATACTTACCTATATTTATGAAAATTGTTAACAAATTACACTTTGTAACAACAGTATGCAAACTAGTACTATTTTGAATCGCGAGTATTAAATTTATTTGAACCGATCGAATCACGATGTGACTGTTTTGAGCAATCTCTTCATACTAACAATGAGGAGGATACAGTTGATCAAGCGACACGGCGAGCTTGCGCGTAGCGCAAGGAAGGACCGATATGATAAACACATATTGTTATACACTTATACTTATATTATCATCTATAAGATATTTCAAATATATAAATATTTTACCTATTAAACAAAACTTTTGTGTATTTTATTTGCATTATTTTAGAAAAAATATATTGGAAAATAGCGCCAAGTGAGAATCAAAATAATCTTCTTAATTACTAAAAAAATAAAAAATTGTTTTATATTTCATACAAAAAAATGTATTATTTAATTATTACAGTACTGATGTCAATAGAAATTAAAATAAAATTTAACACTAGAAAACTTGACATCTTACTACAGTAAATCACATGTTAACATAATGTTAATTAATATCTCATGTTTAGTATTAATACAATTAATATCTTATGTTTATATTAATACAAGCGCATATTATGTTATACTAATATATTATACTCACTGTAATATATTAAATATACTAAATGTAGTATACTTCCACTTTTCTTAAGATATGAACTGTCAAAGTATGTAACATTTGCAATGACATCCGCTCGATAACAACGCACAGCGCGCATTTAGATAGTCAATCAGCATATGAAAAAGTGACAATAATGAAAATTTACTTTGCCCTTTTTAAAAAGTGAATTCTTAAATATAAAAGTACAATTTATTGAATATTTGTATAAAAAGGTAAGTAGAAGATTAATGTGCGTGATAACTATTTTTGAAATAATTATTTCGACCCTTTTATAATTTGAAATATGTAAAATATTTTCAATCATCTTGAAATGTTTTTTGATTATTTAAAATTAGTATTTTAAAATATTGATTTATAGTTATTTAATATTTATAAATGCTACATATATTCTACATGTTTAAATTGATAATTTCTCATATTTATACAAGTATTAGATTTTTATTTATAAATGAATTCATAAAAGTTTAACATGTAAAAAATTTTGGTAAAAATTTTACTTTTTTTTAAATATTTACTTAAAAGCAAATATGAATTACATATTTCTATGCAGTATTTAAAATTAAATATAATATTATATAAAATGGCAAACGAAAGAAAGAGCCTGAAAAGATTAGAAATATTATTTTCCGCAATAATATATTGCAACTAATTTGTTCAATAATTAAGTACACTCGTGATTTATAAATATTAATTACTTTGAATCATCCAATGCGCCAATTTTATTCCGACCATTTTATTTATTTACATTTATCAATGTTGTTCATCACTTGAACCTATTAAAAATTGTATTAATATTTAACTAAGCATCCTATTTTATGATGTTATTTGTGAATGTACATTTTGTTGTGTGGGCATAAAATTATTCTTTAAGAAAGTTTATAATTTTTATTTTCTTTATTTATTTTAATTCAACATTGCTATAGCTGTGCCTATATACTATATACATTGTTATATGCTTTGTCTTTCAAAAATTCAATTGTTTGGCTATTTATTTCCGTTTTCAAGTTTACCACAAGCACAGTATTAGCTCGATGCTGACAGCCGGATTTGTAATACTGAGAAGCACCGGCGTGATACTAGACAACAGTAAAAAATTAGTACTGATTAACTAACTTATATAATGTATAACAACTCTAACTAATGTATCACTGTTGGCGATGGAAAGTTTGCCAGTCGGAATAATATTATAACGTTCCATTAGTATTAAATGCCAGAATTGGCATCCAGTGTTGGCCCAATACTGGCTAGTACAACAGCCACGAAATAATAGTTACATGCGAATTACAGGCAGATTGAATACAGACTCCTTCTACTTTGTTGTGAGAGTTCAGTCGTCATCATGTTGACTGAGAGATCCATAATTTGCGTTTTGTTTTGCGCGTTCCAATTTTCGTTTACTAATTTTATTTTTAACAGCATCAATGAGCCCCTTTTCTTTCAGATTAGTTGTCGCAAAAATATTTACCTAAAACAAATTATTTCGACACAATCAATTAATGTAAAGTTTTTTAATTTCGAGTTTAAGAGAGTATGATTTGCTGCCTTAAGCGTATCTGGATCGGATATGTTACATATGTAACAAATCACTTATAACCTCAATATTCAAAAGTCAAAAAATGAAAGTATTACTTGAATTAAAAAATATAGGTACCTCTTGTAATTGGTGTGCGGAATGCACATGCGTAATACTGATAATTAATATTGCAATTCTATCAACTTCCCTAAAATTAAAGTAATGGATTTAATATGCATATCTCATACTTAGAAATACAAGAATATATATAAAAAGAAAAATATTATTACCAATATTTACTTAATACGATTTGTCTGTCTCTTAAACATTTCAATATGAATTCAAACACTATCAAGTCCCTTACATGCTTTGCGACAGTAAGAACAATTATATTAACACGTTTGTCTCGTTCTTGGATAAAATATTTATACTTTTTAGTTAGTCCTAACGATTGTTTTAAATACAAGATAATAATTGAAGAATTTTTACAGCAAGTTAAGTAATCTAATATTCTGTTATCAAATGTTGTTCTTTTTTCTCGTATATGGTTCCAAATGGTGTAGTTTGCTAACATTAAACCTTTACAATATTTCCATTCCTTCCATGTAAACCGACTGCGTTAGCAGAAATAAAATATTTTATACAAATGTAGCTTATGTTATGTATATCAAATAAAATAGTTTCTCAAGTTTAGTATATTAATGCAACATGATTAATTTATACAAATGTCGTGGTTTTAAAACAACTTACTTGTCTTCTACAGGATTTTTGAGGTATTTTATCAGATGTAAAGTGGCATTTTCTCTGCATTTAGCAGCATTAATAATACATGCCCATTTTGCTGTTTCCTCTCTTAAACATTTAGTAAGGTCGCTTTCATTCGGTTTTTCATCGTATCCTATTATTTCCAAAACTCTGTTCAATATATTTCGCATATTGTCCTTAAAATTGATAAATAATTTGAATTTATAAATCTATTGTTAGAAAGAATGTGATGTATGTGTATATTTACACGTATACATATTTATTTAATTCTTTTTATGTTGTAATGTATAACTTTTATTATAGAAATTAACCATTACCTACCGTTATGCCTGTGGCATTATGAAATGAATAGGCACAAGCCATGTATTCAAAAGCTTTAATCATAGGATACCATGCTACGTAATTCGTATTTTGTGACAGAAAGCTTACGATATTCCAAAACCTATTTAAACTGAGTCGGCGATGTATGAGAAAGTGAAACGCATCATCTATGACTTGGGCTTGATTGAGAACATGTACTGTATAATTTTTTCTCAAGCATTGCACAAGTTTACGCCAGCCCTCATAATTATAATTAACTCGATAATATCCTATTAGATCAAAAATAGATTCTCTTATCTATAGAGTCTCTGATAGAATTTATAAAGAAATAGTTTCTAACAATGTTTTTTTTAAAATATTTTTTAAAATTATTTATTTTTCAATAAAATATTTTAAATATAAGTTACAATAATAATATCCAATTATAGGTTCTTTTTATTAATACAAAATTTACGATTTATTACACAGGACTACAAAAAAAATTTTTGGAAATAAACTCAAACCAGAGTAGATGTTTCTTATAGATTTTAGGTCACTGAATCTAAATTTGTAAGCTATTTTGCTTCATCACGTCCAGTTTTTTAGATCATAGCTCGGCGTTAGTTGCACATTTCGGCTCGATTCTTGAGACGACGCCTCTCGCTCTTCCACCACCGCCCGGCCGTTGGCGGCTGAGCCGCCGATAGTTCTGGCTCAAGAGCGTTTTATATTAGAAATAGGCTGGATTTTTCAAGCATCTCTCAGGAAATCGTAACATTTTTTTACTACATAAATAATGTTTATTTTTATTAATACATAATATATATATATTTACTTATTAATGAAAATAATCATTATTTATGTAGTGAAGAAAATGTTACGATTTCCTGAAAGATGCCTAAACAATCCAGTCTATTTCTAATATAAAACGCTCCTGAGCCAGAGCTGTCGGTGGCTCGGCTGCCAACGGCCGGGTGGTAGTGGGAAAGTGGCAGACGTCTCAAGAATCAAGCCGAAATGTGCAACCAACGCCGAGCTCTGATTTAGATAATCGAGAAAAATGATGAAAAATCTTTGAAAATTGAAAGAAATATTTGAGGAAAGAGCAAAAGTAAATATCACATAAAAATGCGGTCGCAGAACTGATTTAAATTTATTTTGGTAAGTTAAATAAGGTGCAAGAAATAAAAAAAATTTTGCTTTACTAATGTTAGGTATTATAGCCTAACACGTCGTAAAACAAATCGATGTAAAGTATCATTGTGCAACAAACAGTCAGGCGATCTGCGTGAGTTATACTAGGTTTTTTCAGAAATAAATTTTAATTGTTACCTTTGGAAGATTAGTTAGGTAAGTGAGGCGCAGAGTTGGGCACGAACTGAATCAGTACAAATTAAAAAAATATATATTTGTTGCACAAAGGTACTTTACGTCGTTTTGTTTTACGACATGTTAAGCTATAATACCAAACATTCCTGGTAGAAATTCACTCTGGGCTTTATTATGGCCCCGCCAGTCATCAACTCAGGCGTGATACTGGCGAATTAGTCGGGGCCACACACGAAATCGTCATAAATGGCTGTGCCAGCGCCACAGATTCACCGCAATACTGGGGCGACTGGGGCTGTGGATTGGCACTATCTAGGCTGCCATTTAGACCGTGCTTGTTCTAAACGGACCCTTACTAAATTTATCATGGCCCTAGGTAGGTTTATGAAAGGTAGAGCCATGGTAATTTATGTATTTTATGTATTACAGTCTCTCTTCCGTCTTCGGTTCTAAAACTTTCTTCGTGGTATTCATTACACTCGGTCGAACTGTCTTTTTCACTATAGCATTTACCTTCACCAATATTATTTTGAATATTCCCCGCATTAGATGAAGATTGTGTATTAAAATTATTTGTTGCACTTAACCTATTC